AAGGAAAAATTCTCCATCTGTAGTCTGTAAGCCTCTTCATCCAGTCTGGCTCCAAAACCTGATGGCTATGTGCTGTATTGGCATTTTTTTTGTTAGGTTGGGTTTTTTGTTTTTTTTCCTCCATTTATCTTCTTCTCTCCCATTCTCTCCCTTTTCTGAGTGTGTCTTCTGATTTTCTTTTAAAAAATAACATTTTAAAACATTTTTGTTCAGGATACTTCCTACGCCTGCTCTGATCCATTTGTGGAGTAAATAGTTCACCATAGAAACCAGGGAGATAGGAAGAAAAGTTCTGGCTATCTAATCCAGCATTATATTAATACAGTGGATGACCAAGTCAGGATTTAACAAGATCACGTAACTAGAACTGGATGGAACCTTAGAGGTTCTAGGTAGACCTAACCTCTCCTTTTACAGATGAAGAAACTGAAACTCAAAGAAGTTTAGTGACTTAACCAAAGTCACATAGTAGTAAGTTGCACAACTGTTGTATGCTCTGAATAAATCGTATAAATCATAATAATACAATGAAAAACTAAGTGAAAAGAGTTCTTCAAACTCGGTTCCTGTGAAGTTCCAACCAAGTTCAGTATTGTTTCCATTATATCACACTTTGGGATAATCGCCCAATCTAGTAAATTGAAATTTGATAGGGATAAATTATAAAATAAAATATTACATATTTGGCTTTAAAAATGCACAAATATGATGGCAGCAGTTTCAAAAACATTTGGGTATTTTATTGGGCTGTAACTGTATGAGTTAGCAATATGACAAAGCATCCAAAAAAGTTAATGCCATCTTGGACTGCATTGAGAGGCTTAACTTCCAGGATTGAAAAGTTGATAGTTCCTCTGTACTGTGCCTTAGACCACATGTGGAGTATCATATTCAGTTCTGGATAGCAAAATTTAAGAAGGTTGATCAGCTCATGAACCACGTCAAGGTAGTGAAGGTCCACTCATCATGTGAGGATGCGTTGAAGGAATTACAGATACATAACCCAGAGAAGAGAAGACTCGAGGAAGACATGGTAGCTGTCTAGAATAGTATAATGTAGAAGTGCCCTCAGGTGGAACAGGAATTAGGTTTGTTCTGTTCAGCATCATTGGGTATAACCAGGAAGAATTAGTGAAAGTTGCAATGGAGCAAATTTAAGCTTGATAAAGGGAAAAATTTCCTAACAGAAGTATCTTTAAGTAGAGTGAAATGTCTCAGGACATAGTGGGCTCCCCCATTGGAAGTCTTTCAAGGAAAGTCTAGATCACTATTGAGTATGTTGCAGTGGGGCTTTTTTTAGGTATGGGTTGGACCACTAGATGCAGCTGAAGTCCCAACTCTAAAATTCTGTGATTAATTCCTTTATACTTCTTTGTTTCCACATTGGCTATGAGGTAAGGAAGGCAGATTTTATTATACCACTTTTATTGAGAAAACCACTGTGTCCTTGATACACTTTGTGCTTCTGAAGGTTCTTTTTCTAGCTACACCTAACTAAGGACGTTAGGAGATAAATGACCGACTCTGTGGTAGGAGGTAGCCCCTTTATGCCTCTGTTTCCTCTTCTATACAATGAAAGTTTTTGGAGGAGTGCTAGGAAGATGCTGGAGGATGGTATCTCTAGGAACTGCTCTATCTTTACCCCATCAAATAATATAATACTAAAAAAAGCTCCTCAAATACAGAAAATTCAGTAATGATGGGAAGTGAAAATCTGCCACAGGGTTATTCTGCAGACCAAATCACCAGCCTATTACTTTTGTCTTTCTCCCCATCTAATTTTAGTTACTATCTTTTGAGGTTAACCCCTCAGTAACATAATAGAGGTTCTCACTCTCAGGATGGGGGGTGGAGGACCCATTGCTCTGGGTGCTTCATCCCTCTCCCATAGCCCAAGGCCACTTAGATTAGTCCTTTATAACCAACATGGCTGGGGCAAGTTTTAAGTACCTGACTTTTGGAGTTAAATCAGTGGCAACTACAGTTACAAGGGGAACTCTACTACAAGGAAGAAGTGTGACTTATTAATCAGATCAGCCTCAAAAAAGGGGTGGGAGGTGGGGAGAGAGTTAGCTGTGGAGGAGTATAGAAGCTAGTGCATAAGAAAGTAGAGAAGGGAGGAGACCAAAAATTTAGTTCTGATTATAACTATTTAATACAGCACAGCAGGAAACAACCAAGAGGAGCAAGAGAAAGGTAAAGAGACCCAATTGCAAAGGCTTATCAGAGCACCTCTCAGAAATATCTTCAGGGAATCTCCCCCAGCTTCTTCTAAACCAACCCCCCAGGGCTAGCCTAGGAACTGAAGAAGTCAGTTGCAGAGAGGAAAGTAGAGTCAGAAGAGTGGAGCTACCGAAGAAGAAAAGGCCTTTCTACATTTCCCTTAAACAATAACTGATTGGTCTTAACCCTCTGAGGGAAAGAGGCCTCATCCAACCCTGCTGGTTTGAGAGATGGAGAGCTGTCCATCAGAAAGGAAAAGTTTGGCAGGTTTGAGCAAGGACGCTATAGAAATATCAGCAGTTAATTGATTGAGACTAAGGAGAAAAAGTGAACAAATATCTGAAGAAATGAGCTTTCTCAACGGATGAATGCTTCACAACAAAGGAAATCGGTCAAAAATCAACAAACTTTTATTAAGTACCTGTTAGCACTATATTAAACAATGAAGATGCAATGACAAAAGTGAAATTTTCCTTTCCCCCAAGAAGCCTACATTCTATTGGAGGAGTCAACATGTATGTAGTATGTATACACACACACACGATATATTTTTAAATACAAGGTAATCATTGGACAGAGTGGATGGTGCAGCTAGGTGATTCAATGGATGGAGAGCTAGTCCGGAACTCAGGAAAAATCTCAGACACCCCCTGTGTGACCTTGGACAAATCATTTCACCTCTGTTGGCCTCAGTTTCCTCATCTGTAAAATGGGGATAATAGCACCTACCTCCAGGGGTGGTTGTAAGGATCAAATGAATTAACTGTAAAGCATAGTACCTGGCAACTACAGAAATCTTAGCTATTATTATTATAGGGAACTAGCACAGATATATGGCATAAAGAGCCATTTGCCAAAAATAAGTGAACAAAAGATATAAACAGCTTTCAAAAGAATTACAAACTTCAGATGACCACATCTAATTTTGCACGATATCATTAGTAATTAATGAAATGCAAATTAAAACAAATTTGGCATTTGCCTTTATGTCATGCAAATTGTCAAAAATGACTGAAGATGGAAACTCAGGATTGGAGACAGACGGGCATACTGATGGACACTGTTGGTGGGACTGTGAAATGCTCTAACTGTCCTGGATATCAGTTTGCAACTGCAAATGTAGCACCCCTCTGGGCCAAATTCTCAACCCCCATTCTATTGCCCCATTGGGTCCCCACGTTGGGCAACTTACCCACCTCAAGATTATAGGGGTAACCCTCAGGGATTGAGGTTTCTAATATATCTAGTATGTTCTCAATATTGATTAACCAGTTGATATCAATTAGCTTTTACAGAGGGATAGTTACTGAGGACATATGGCAAGACCAAGTACAGAATCAGCCCCAAATCAGGGTCCATTCTCCCCACATGCACATACCAGGTCCCTGGAGAAAATGGCCCTTAACTTGGAAGCACAAAGGAAGTGAGGCACCCATGTAGAGACCCTACGTGGCCAAGAAGTATCTGTAGGCCCTTGGAGTTCTTTTCTTCCTTTCTGTGGAGTCCTCAGCAACTTCATTTTTGGGTGTGGTATAGCCCAGTATAGATGAGTTACTCCTTTCTCAGCTGCTCTAGCTCCTTATAGGACTTGGGTCAATCCACTGCTAGGCTGGGTCAAGCAAGTCATCCATCCACTGGCTGAGTTGACAGCACTGGATTTGGTTATTGGTGCAACCTTGGCTTTGATGGATCTTCAGGTCTCACTGTTTGACTGAGTACCTACATCTCAGGATATTCCTTCCCATAAGATCAGGAAAGAATGAAAATGCCAAAAATGCACCATGGGATCAGAGATACATGGTGGCCAGGTGGGGAGACACGGCAGCCAAAGTCACCTTGAGGCTCACAACAATTCTCTTCCTGCAAGGAAGGAAAAGCAAAAAGAGCCAAGGAAAGGATATATCAGTTCTTTTGTATGTGAACTCAATTCTGGTTCAGTCACTTGTCCGCATACAGCAACCAATCCCCAGAGTCACTTAAGGCCTGAAATAGTCTTATCAAGCCTCTGCATCTTCAGGCTTGAAACCAGGAAGAAGATAGTGTATATGCTCTGTATAACTGACCAGGAAGGGCAAATATACCTGTGCTTGAAGGACTGGACGCTCATTGGCCAGTGCCTTATACAAGTGACTAAGCTGCCCTTTGATCCCACTATGGGGCATACCCCAAGAAAGTCAAAGAAAGAAATGTGCAGTATATACCAAAATATAGTTGTACTCTGTTAGCAAAAAAACTAGCAACCAATTGGGCCTGTTATTTGGGACGTGGCTAAAAAGCAAACAAACTAACAAAAAAACCCATGGTACATGAATGTAATCAAGTATTATTGTGCAGGAAGATTGGCTTCACTAGGCTGCCAGAGGGGTCCATGACAAAAAAAATTGACCTTTGAACTAAATGATCTCCAAGGCTCGTTTCAGCTATGAGGGTCTATTATTCTAGGACCTTGAACTTTTTCCAATAAAATATGGGGGAGTACAGCTTGGGAGGAAGAATTAGTGATAGACGAACGAACGAATGAATGAATGAAAAAAGCATTTTTTAAGCGCTTAATATGTGTAAAGCACTGCTTAATGCTGGACACAAGCTTATCTTCTGGCTAAGCACAACGCCACCCGAAGTTCAAAGAGGAACTCTCTGAACTAGGAACCAAAGTTTTCAGCACAAAGGAAGTGGACGGACGAGTTTGGGAAAAGGACTCGGGTCAAAGTCGCCGGGGGCGTAGGTCCTTGACGAGTGCCGGTGGGGCGGGGGTCCCTGCAGGGGCAGGCGGGGTGATGGCGGCGGTGGGGCTTTGGGGCGCCGCAGCCCGCCGTTTGAGGCCTCTCGCGGCCATCGGGCCTGCTGGGTGCAGGCAGACGCTGCAGCTCGGGCCCTCGACCCCGCCTTTCCGTCCAGGGCGGGGCCGGGCCCTCCGCTTGTCCGCGGCGACCCCGGCCGGGCACAACAAGTGGTCCAAAGTCAGGCACATTAAGGGCCCCAAGGACACGGCCAGGAGCCAGGTCTTCACGAAGCTCTCGAGGCTCATCCGTTTTGCTGTTAAAGGTGAGCGGGGAGAGGGGAAGGAGGGGGAAGGTGGACTGACCACGAGCTCTGCTGCTCGTCTGGGAAGGCTCTCCGGCCCTGGCCACCCACCTAGCCCAGCGGGCCAAGGTGGCGCGGCGCTAGAATTAAGGGGGCTTGGGAAGGCTTACTGTAGAAAGTGGGATTTTAGCTTTTGTTTTTATATATAGTATCCTCGTTCCCAGATGTATCTCTTCCTCCTTCCCGACCCGCCACCCTTAACCAGCTCCCTTGGAACGAAGAATTAAAAAAGAAAAGGGGGGGTGGTACGGTTCTATAACAATGCATTTAATCAGCTCTAGGACAAAGTTTCTTGGTCAGTATAATTACACAGCACTAAATTTATTTTTTTTCAATTATATTGTTAGTAGTCATTGTGCATATTGTTTTCCTGGTTCTTTCTACTTCATTCAGTGTGAATTCATATGTTTTTCTGTGCTTTTCTGAATGTTTTATATTCCTCATTTCTTACTCTGCAGTCGTTTCATTATATTCATGCACCACAATTTTTAAGCCTTTCTCAAGTTGAAGGACATTTACTTTGTAACCAATCTTTTTCTACTACAAAAAGTGTTGCTGTGATCTATATAGGACCTCTGACCCCTTTGGGATATATGCCAGTGGTTGAGTATCAGGGTCAAAAGGTATGGACAGTCTCTTCCTTACCATAATTCCAGAACAGTTAAAGAAAATCATAGCTCCACCAACATTGTTTTGTTGTGCTTGTTCCAGCATCAACTATATTAATCTTTTGTCATCTTTGCTAATTTGCTGCATGTAAGGTGAAACCCCAGGATTATTTTAATATGCATTTCTGTTAGTGATTTGGAGCAATTGTTCATACAGTTAATAGCTTGCAGTTCATCTTTTGAGAACTGTTCATGTTTTCTTGGCCACATATCCATTGAAGAATGGCTCTTTTTGGTCTTACATATTGGTATTTATTTCCTGTTAATTTTGGGTGCTAAAACCCTTATCAGAGATACTTAATGCAGAAATTTTTTTTTCTGATTGACCATTTCCTTTCTTATGCTAGTTGTATTGATTTTGTTAGTACAAAAGTTTTTTTTTAATTTCTTGTAATCAGAATGATCTATTTTGTCTTTTGTGATTGGCTCAATTCTTTTTTTTTTGTTCTTAAGATCTGTCCACCTAGCCATAGCCATGAAAGGTAGATGATGTAGTACTGTTCTAATTTTTTATGATGTACATTTTATCATCATAACTTCTAACTCATTTCATCCTTTATCTCTGTTTTAAACTAACAAGCATATACTCACCTTCCTGAAACTTAGTTGGGAATAACATCTTTCTCCAGTTTGAAATTCCTCTTCATTTCTTCCCTCTAAAAACAGTAAAATCCTTTTAGCTTAGTTGGTCTCATTTAGTATTGTTCCTCCTTCCATACTTCCTCCCCTTTGGATCATGAACATGCCCATGTACTCTATGCTTTCTAGAGGTGGGGTTTGTTTAAATTCTGTGAACTAACTTTCTTGGTTAAATTAGGGCCTCCTATTGCAGCAGTCAGAATGAGGGCCCCTTGAGTTCAAGGAATTTGAAAATGAGGGATCTTGATCAGTTGCTTCTCCTACCCATTTCAGTTCCTTTATTTTGTGGCAAATGCCTCTAAAATGAATGATTATATGGCAACCCAGTGCCTAGACTATATACAGGAAAAGGAAAGCACACACAAGACTTCAGTGTAAAAAGATAAGTTTCAGTATGTTCTGTATAGCCAACCAAGATCTCAGGAGTGTTGGAGAAGGGAATAGCATGCTGCAGTCCTCCCAATCCACATAATGGGGTTGGGACAGTGAGTTGGCAGCTCCAAATATGTCTTCATTGCTTTTCCCTTTTTGTATAAGAAAAAGTTCCCTCTCTGACATGTGTTAGAGAGACTTCCCCCCCCCCCCCCAAAGTTCCAGGATGGTGATCAGTGGAACAAAGTGTATTCTTCTCTTTCTACTTTCAGATCTATGCTTTGGGATCTTTAAGTGTAATAATTGGTTGAGGGAATAAGATATTAAAATGTCATGTCTCCTTATTTATTCACAATTAACAAGGAGGATATGTAGGGGATTTTAGATATGAAGCCAGGTGCTATGAGACCATTTTGGTCCACATGGACACTAATCAAAGAAATTATTGGGAAAAGAAGAAGAAATCTTTTTAGCCCATTTTAACTATATATGTTTTTTAGATGTGAGGGAAACCAGGAATGAGAGAAACCATAGTCTCACTTATGTCTGTCTTCTTCCACAGAAGGTGGCCCCAACCCCGAGTTAAACAGCAATCTGGCCAACCTCCTGAAATTGTGTCGAAGCAAAAACATGCCAAAGTCAACTATTGAGGCAGCACTGAAAAGTGAGGTACTTACCTTCCATTTACCTTACCTTACCTGTTATCTCTAGCACCACTTAGGTTTGGATGCCTAAAGGAAGCTCCTTATATTGTCTTGGAGAAAGGTTGCCCTTTATGCTAACAGCTTTGAACTGCAATAGTTATTGTACTTAGTTTATATACTACCCAGATCTTCATTGTTCCAACTTCTAACCATTCCTCAAGGTCCTTAACCCTGTTATTCCCCAGAGGGAGCAGGAACAGACTAGTTGGGGAGGTACAGCATACATAGCATGGGAGCCTACAGTATGGTGGGCTAAGGGTAAGGTTGAGAGATGCCAGCATACATTCTTGGTGACCGGTTATGAGTCATTTAGTATGACAGCTGGGCCTGGGACAGGAAGAGAGAGAGTTAGGAGGGAGTACTTACAACTGGAGAGGAAGTATCTGTTCTGGAGGACTCTGGGAAGTCAGTAAACAGTGAGGAAGCTGGGGGATTAAGATTTCAGGGAAATTTCAGATATCTTAAAGCAACTACCAAAAAGCAATACAGTACACCCAGCAGAGGAAGGGAGTCCCTAGGAAATAGGTTTCTTTGGGTAGAATTGAGGGACAATTACTAGGCATGTTATATGCCAGATATATCTACTCTGGGGAATGCAGAGGTCTTTTGTGCATTCTTTCCCAAGCAGCAACAAGGCTCTTGTATGCCAAACCTTAAAGTGGATTTGGTGATATGAAAAACCCTTGGCTGAGAGGTCTTGCCTCCACTGCCCCTGCAGCTCTTAGGTCATTGATAGTCTTAAGGTGGGAAAGACTATGGATTTTTGGTGCTTGGTAATCTCTGAGGCAACACAAAGAACGCAGAAACAAATATCCGGCTTGGGAAAAGGACATGTAACTACCCACTTCAACCATATTTGATCATAGGTGAGATGAAGGGTCTCTAAGGCCTTGTCTATAAATGTTAGAGATAATTTCAAGTTTTGAGAACCCAGGCTCCAGCCCAAGTTAGATATGGTGTGGAGTGGATGAGTTAGAGATGGATAAATCCTAGCTGTTTTGGTATTGTTTGTTGCAGAAGAACAAGGACATCTATCTTCTCTATGAAGGACGAGGCCCCGGTGGCTCTTCTCTACTCATTGAGGTACTTTCTGACAGTGGTGCCAGGTGCCATGCAGCCATCAAGCACATCCTGAACAAACACGGGTGTGTGGTAGGAGGTGGTTGGGGGGGTGGGGGGAGAGGCAGAGTATGGTAGGTGGAGGAGCAAAGAGCTTGATTGCTGATTCTTTCCTCGAAAAGTTGTTTGCTTTCTCTGGCTATGCTAGTTCTAAGTGAACTTATCTCAGTTCAAGTAGTGTCTGTTATTGTTTCAGTTTTGATCCCCCTAAGCCTTCTTGTAGCCTAGGGTCCAACAAGTTTCTGCTTTTGATTTCCTGACTAGATGGCTTCTAAAAGTCTTTTTCATTTAATTTGTCTTGAGTTTTTTTTTTTCCCAATCCCCAATAATAAAGTATCCTGATATTGAAACAAAGCACTTACGGAATAGATTATACAGAATTTCTGGAGAGGTGGTAGAAAGATAGCTATCTTCATCCTACAAACTCTAGTTAGAGATGAAAACAAGCAGAATTAGGATAAGGGGAAAAAATTATTGAAGTGATTTTGAAGAGAAACTCTAGGACTATTATCCTGCCTAGTAGTGGCTTCCTTGTTTTCCTCTGGAAAAGAACCACTTCATGGCTGTTGGGGTGGGGGAGGAGGTCAATGGTAAGGCATTTTGTGGATACTGAGTGACCTAAAGCAGTGACCTTGGTCCCCTTCTTTGTTCTTATACAGGGGGGTGATGACTGATGGGGCCAGGTACTCCTTTGACAAAAAGGGGGTGGTCATCGTTGGCACAGAAGACAAAGAGAAGAGGACTGTGAACTTAGAGCGAGCCCTGGAGTTGGCATTTGAGGCTGGAGCTGAAGATGTACAGGAATCTGAGAATGATGATGAGAAAAACATGCTTAAAGTAAGTTTGAAGGAGAGATGTTAAGTTGCTTCTTTTGAAAAGGCTTCCAGAAAAGATTCGGGAAAATCAGTTCAACATATGCCTTTTTTTTTTTTTTTTTTTTTTTGCATTTTTAGTAAAGCATTTAAAAAATATATTATTAGTATTATATCTGTTATTATTCTTAGATCACTTGCTATGCTGCTGTTATAGGCTTTGATCTAAAGTATTCATGGTCTAGAGGCACTGCTCTTCCCACATTGAATGAGGATCCTAGTATCATATACTTTAAGTTGGAGGGGACCTCAGAGGTTATCCTCCCAGAATAGGAATCCTCTCTACAAAGTCCTTGATAAGTGATCAGTTTCTACTTGAAGACCTCCAGTGCTAGGAAGCTACAAGCTGATGTGGCAGCCTGTTCAGCTTTTGAACAGCTCTAATTGTTAGGGAGTTTGTCCTTATATTGAATGAAAATGCACATTTCTGCAACTTTAACCCAAAATAAAATCAGAACATAGGAGTTCACAAGGGCCTTTGTGCCACCTCCTGATAATTTTTCATTCACTACTATTGTTTAGATTGTATATTATACTTTTTTGAATGCTGTACTAAAAATGTATTTGTTTCTACTTACCTTTTTAACAATCCTCATCCTCATTCTTGCTTCTAGACTGTTATAAAATGATAGGGTGATAAAATGCACCCTATATCTAGTTGCCTGTCTCTTTGAAAGGATCACCTATACCTTTGCCTCAAAATGAGCTCTAGGACCAGTTTCCTAGCAACTATCATTTTTCTTTTTTTATAGAGTAACACAGTCTGCCTGACTCTTCCAAGAGGCTTAAAACACATTTTGTTATTTCCCATTGCCTCTAAATTAACTTGGATGCTACCAGATAAAGTTGGCTTTTGCATCTCTAGCACTCATTTCTGTTTTAAGCAACAATTTAAAAATTTTTATTGGTATTTTTTTATTTTACATCTTCATTTCAGATTATATGCCAGGAAGCCATCTCTTGGAACAAAGAATAAAAGGGGGGAGGAGGAGAAAAAAAAACAGTTCAGCAAAATCAACCAACACACTGACTGAGTCAAACAGTGTATGTTCCTTACCCATAGTTACCTCACCTCTTCAAAGAAAAGATGGAGGCACATTTTCTTATTTCTTCCAGGCAAGCTTGGTCACTGTAATTACACGGCATTCAGTTTAGTGGTTTCTTTCTTTCTTTGCATTTATATTGTTGTAGTCATTGTATATATTGTTTTGTTGGTTTTCTTCCCTCTGTACAAGTTTATGTAAATCCATGCTACTTTGAATTCTTCATATTCCTTCTTACTGTGCAATAATATTACATTTGTGTACCACATTTGCTTAACCATTCCCCAGTCAATGGGTATTTCCTTTGTTTCCAGGTTTTTGCTACTACAAAAAATCCTGCTATAAATATGTTGGTATATATGAGATCTTTCTGCCTTTGACCTCCTTGGTCATATGCCTAGTAGTGGGTTATGTGTACCAAAGAGTACAAACATTTTAATCAGTTTCTTAATCCCAAATTTCTTTCAGGAAGAGTTGGATCAATTTATAGCTCCACCAGCAATGTATTAGTGTGTCTGCCTTTTCACAGCTCCTACAGCATTGACTCTTCCCATTTTTTGTCATCTTTGCTAGTTTTCTGGGTGAAATTTCACAGATGTCTTAATTTAAACTTGTGTTATTACTTGGAGATTTGAAATCTTTTCATATGCTTATCCATAGTTTGTAATTTTAAGAATTTTTTTTTTGAGAACTATTTGTTTATACCCTTTGACCACTTATGAGGAATGACTCTTGTTCATATATTTGTATTAATTACCTATAAATGTTGGAAATTTGACCTTTATCAAAGATATTTGATGCAATTTTTCTCTGGTCTATCATTTCTTTTCTTATCCTAGTTGCATTGATTTTGTTAGTTCAAAAGCTTTTCAATTTCATGTAATCAAAGTTATCTATTTATATCTTTTGTGATGCATTGTTGGTGGAGCTATGAGTTGGAGAATAAAGTGACAAAAATGTCCATACCCTTTGACTCAAATATTCCACTGGTAGGTTTATGTTCTAAGGAGGTCATTGACAAAAAATCCTTATATGCAAAAATATTTTTAATGTCACTTTTCATAATAGCAAATAACTAGAAATAAAATAGATGCGCATTGATTGAGGAGTAGCTAAACAAATTGTGATATATTAATGTAATGTAATATTGCTGTCCTGTAAGAAATGGCAAACATGATGAATACAGAGGAACATGTAAAGATTTATATGAAATAATGCAGAGTGAAGTTGGGAGCAGAGCCAGGAAGACAGTTATAAACATTGATGGCAACAACAGAAATGGAAGAAACAACTGTAAAACCACAGAAATAGAATTTTGCAAAATTATAAACAGTCTTGACTGCAAAGAAGAAATATTAGAAGACGCCTCCTTCTTTCTTGCACCCCCTTTTGCGCAGGTTATGTGTGGAACATTGTATATTACATCAGATTTTTTTTATGGTTTGATCAGTTTTGTTGCATTTTCCCATCTTCCTTCTTTTCCTTTAAAAAAAAATTCCTTATTCTAAAGGAGGTTCTCTGGAAGTAGCAGAGTATAGGTATGAAGGGGGAAATCTAGTCAATATAATAACAGAAGATAGAAATAAAAACCGCTTGCCCTTAGCTATAACTATGAAAGTTACCCGATGTAATTCTCTTCTGGAGTTGTTGGGGGATTTTTGTTGTTGTTGTTCCTATATTTACTTAACATTTTATTTTTTCCCTGATTACATATAAAAATAATTTTTAACACTTATTTTTTTATGAATTTGGAGTTCCAAATTCTCTCCCTTCCTCTCTCCCCTCCCCCCCAATAAGAAGGCAAACAATTTGATGTTATACGTGTACAGTCATGTAAAACATATTTCCACATTAGTCATGTTGTGAAAAAACACAAAAAAAGAAAGTTTAAAAAAGTATGCTTTAATCTGCATTCAGACTCCCATCAGTTCTTTCTCTGGAGATAGATAGCATCTTTCGTCATAAGTGCTGTGTGGCTGAGAATAGCTAAGTCATTCACGGTTGTTCATCTTACAATATTGCTGTTACTGTGTACAGTGTTCCCCTGCTTCTGCTCATTTCACTTTGCATCATGTAAGTTTTTCCAGATTTTTCTGAGAGTATCTTGCTCCTCATTTCTTATAGCATAATAACATTCCATCACAATTATATACCACAACTTGTTCATTCATTCTCCCATTGATGGGCATCCCATCAGTTTCCAGGTCTTTGCCACCACTAAAAGAGCTGCTATAAATACTTTTGTACACATAGGTCCTTTTCTTTCTTGCCTTTTATCTCTTTGGGATATAAACCTAGTAGTGGTATTTCTAGGTCAAAGGGTATGCATGGTTTTATAGCCCTATGAGCATAGTTAGAGTTGTTTTTTAAAGGTATGACCTTTCATATTCTGATCATGTGTCCATTTTGAGCTTCTAATGATTTATGGTGTAAGATATTGATAGGTCTCAAATCTAATTTCTGGCATATTGCTTTTTCCAGTTTATATGTGACATCCCTTCACTGCATGAAGTGAGGACAAAACTGGACTCCTTGGGCTTGTGTTCTGAGTCCTGTGTCCTAGAATTCATCCCTAACATGAAGGTGAAGCTGTCAGATGGGGACATGGAGGCAGCCGCCCATCTAATCCAAGCACTTAATAGCTATGAGGATGTGATTCGAGTCTATGACAACATTGAGTAACAGAGTTGGCCTGGAGAGACACAGCCGGGTGCCTCACTGTTCAGATAGCAATCCATCTCAGTAGTGTGAATTTTCATAAACTACCTTTGGGACCTGAGGAGAACAGGAAGCCTTGACAGGTCATTAGTGTATTAAGCCAAGGTCCGTGGCAGTGGCGAGTCGTCATTGTCTGCCTTGCTGCTCCATGAGGAAGGAAGACCCTTGGAATCTTCATACCAGTGGCATGCAGCACCATGATGAGGAAAGCTGAGATGCTGTCTGATCCCTGCTGACTGACTGAACCTAGATGCCTAATCAAGCTGCTGCCCTCAGCTTAGTTTCTGACCTAAGAAGGTCACCTTTTAGGTGACTTCTGGGTGAATCACTCTGAATGTCTAGAATAGAAACTGCTTCTTGATTAGGAACAAAATGATTTATATTGGTAACTACGTTGTTTGGTGTGTGATTATTAACTCTCTTCAATGGTTTTTTTCCCTTCCATTCTCCCATTTAGGAAGTGTGACTTTATCTGCCTCGGTACATTAATTCTCCCCAGCAGGCCTAAAATCCTCCTTTGAATACTCCCCCATCTCTGTTCTAACCTTTCTTTTGCCCTATAGATATACCTTTAATGCTTTGATCTATCACAACAACAAATGGCCTAAACACACTTATGTGAAACATAACTTGCTGATTATCATCATCCTCAGATTCTGCCTGAGGAGATAGGTAAGGCATATGGGAGAAAGGAGGCCATCTGTGGAGTTCTTGGGGTGGGATCTTGTTTACCCTGGGTGCCCATCAAAGTAAAAGAATGGCTGTGGTTGCATCCCAATTTCTTCCCTCCAATGGGGCTGCCTACACACCTTCTCTGCCACTAGAGGGCAGTAACCCACTGCCCAGTCCACCTTGGAAAAGACTGCAGAAAATTAATTTCCAGACTCCAGGTAACTCTTCCTTGGGTACCTGCATTGGTTAGGGGCCTGAATATCATGTGTATTCAGAAGGGCCCTGATAGCAGATTGTGTGACCCTCAGAAGGGACCTGTTAAATTGGATCTAAATTAAGGTTCTGGGATTGCAGCATGTATAGAAGGAAGTGCCCTGTTTTCAGCAGACCTAGGCTGTAGGACGTGTTCTGCCAATGTTCTTGCTCTTGCTTTTGGACCCGACTGTTGAAGGTACCATCATCCTTCTTACCCAGCTTTGAAATCTAAGTCCTTCCTGACTTTTCTCTCTCCCTCACCCACCCCCACCCATGTCTAGTCAGTTACCAATCTGTGTCAATTCTGCCTGTACAATACAGTATCTCAAATCATTCCCCCTGTCTCCTCATACATCTACCATCCTACTTCAGTCCCTAATCACTTCTTGTTTGAACTCTCATAATAGCCTCCTAATTTTTTTCCTGTCATGTCTCTGCTTTCTCAGTCTATCCTCCACACAGCTGTCAAAGTCACATTCCTAAACCGCAGATCAAACTATATTTGTTCCTTTATGTAATAAAATCTGCTGTCTCCCTAATTACCTCTAGGTTAAAGTACAAACTGGCTTTCAAAACTCTTCTCAATTTGGCTTTAGCCTCCTTTTTGAGGATTATACATTATTCCCCTTGACATTCTCTTGTCTTCTAGCCAAGCTGGTCATTTTACTGTTTCTTGGATTTGACTATCTATATCCCATCTCCATGCCTTTACAAAGACCATCCTGCATGCCTAGAATACACTCCCTCCTCACCTCCACCTCTGAGAATCCTCAGCTTCCTTCAAGACTCATTTCAAGCACCATCTCCCACATAAAGATATTTCTGATTCCTCCCCACCCTCAGCTTCTAGTACCCTTTCCCTTGATGTTTAGTCGTTTCAGTCCGAGTGACACTTTATAACCCCATGTGAGATTTTCTTGGCAAAGATACTGAAGTGTTTGCCATTTCCTTCTCCATCTCCAGCTCATTTTACAAATGAGGAAACTGAGGCAAACAGAGTTAAGTGACTTGCCCAGAGTCACACAGCTAGTGAGTGTCTGCAGCCGAATTTGAACTAAGGAAGATAATGTTAGTAAGTGTCAAGTGTCTGAGGCCGGATTTGAACTCTGGTCCTCCTGACTCCAGGGCTAGTGCTATATCCACTGCACCACCTAGCTGCCCCAGGAAGATGAGTCTTTTTTGACTCTGACACTCTATACACTTTGTCACCTAGCTGCCTCATCCCCTTATATTACTTTGTGTTTATTTTGCACATGTTTTCTACTTACTTAAATGTGTACATGCTGTTTCCCCAGTGAAGTGTTTCAGTTTTTGCCTTTGTATCCCAAGTGCCTAGCACAGAGTAGAAGTGCTTATTGATTGATTGAAGATATCCAATACAGAACTCATCCTCCATCCTTCTGTGTTGCTGATGAAGGTACCACCATCCTTCCAAAGTCATCCTTGACTCTAGCTTCTCTCTGACTCCTCAAATCTCCATTCAATCACCACGTCTTCTCGGTTCTGCCTCTCCTCTTGTTGTTATATCCTTTTTTCTACTCACACGGCCAACACCCTAGTTCAAGGCCTCATTACCTCTTGCCGGCAATAAATAGTCTAATTTGAGTTTCCAGTTTCTCCCATCTCAAAGCCACACTACCCAAGTTTCCAAAACAACCTCCCTATAAAGCACAGTTCTGGAGAAGCAGAACACTGGCTTTGGAGGCTGAGTGTTTGAGTTCAGATCCTGTCTGTCACTTACAACCTGTGTGACCTTGGACGTATCATTTAACCTCTCTCGACCTCAGTTTCCTCATCTGTAAAATGAGGGGAAGAGACTAGATAGACTTAAAGGTCTCTTCTGATTCTAAATCTATGATCCTGTGAACCAAATCTCTCCTTTACTGAAGAACCTTCAATGTCTCCCTGTAGCCTCTAGAATAAAATATGAACAACTTGTCATTTAATTCCCTTCACAATCTGACTCCATGTTTTCAGGAATATTGCAACCTACTCTTCTTTTACTCCACATTCCAGACAAACTGGCTTGTTCGCTGTTAGGAAACAAATACAGAAAAATTAAGTGACTTGCTCAGGGTCATAACAGCCAGTAAGTGCCTGAGGTGAGATTTGAACTCAGGATTCCCTGACTCCAAGTCCCTACTCTATCCACTATGCCATGGTACCTCCTATAGGAACCGTTTCCTTACCCTAAATTCTAGTTCTTCCTCTGATAATTATGATGTATATGCTTACCTGTTTACATGTTGTATTTCTTCCTTTTTCCCCATTAGAATGTAAACTCAAGATCAGGAATTGCTTTTCATTTTGTTTTTTTATCCTTATCACCTAGCATTGCGTCTTGCACAATGTCCTTCATGAATCACTTTTTGACCTTAATAGGTGCTTCTTGGGTTGGACTGGATTTGGATTGTATAGCTAAAAAATCAGTAGTGTTCTTGCTACTACATAATACTGACTTTATTAATTAAAATATTCATAGGGTAGTTTAAAATAGACCATACAATGTAGTGCATTGGAAAGGGTTCAAACTGAAGGCATATTTATTGAATTTGTGAATTTAGAATTTCATTTTTGGAGGGAAAATATCAAAATCTCTGTTTCCTCATTTGTAAAATGAGGGCGTTGCACTAGAAAGTTTTTAGGGCCCTTTTCAATTCTAAATCTGTGATCTTAAGTATTATATGGGTAAACCTTTACGTAATAACTGTGTTCCTGAAAAGTTGAAGGAAAATTGAATTTGATGAAATGTGATCACTTAAAATGTATGAGGGAATCTTAATATGTAAAGGAATTTTGTGGTAAATTCTTATAAAGTGAATAATCATAAATGAATCATAAGATAAACAATGAATCATGCTTTTCGCTGGATAAGCTCATCACCTGAAATCTCATCATTACAGTGACCCATTCCTCTTTAATGCTTTACGCCTCTTTGGCACCCTCAGTTGCCTCTCCCCTCTCACAGAAGGAAAAGCAATGAACTCCTCCCAAGGCCTCCCTTTCCATCTAGGTACTCCGTGCCCCACTCCCCCACACCATCAACTTTTCAGCTTCCTTCTGTATATAGTCTTCCTCCATTAGATTGAAAACAGGGCCTGTCTTTCTTATTTGTATCATCAGTGCTTAGCACAGTGCCTGGCATTTATTGGCTATTGATTATTGACTAATTACCATCAATTTTTTTAAGTTTTATATTTCCATATGTTTTAAGAAAAGACACCTATGTCCTAGACACTGTACTAATGTGAACCCTGAAATATATGGTCATAATACCAGAGTGACTCCTAACCGTGTCCTTCCCTGAAATTAATAGAAGAGACTGTCAAAGTTGAGAATCAGCTCTTCATCCTCTGGGCAAGGTAAAAGCTCCGTTCTTTACCTCCATGAGCTAAAAATAACCTCATTGCCTCCGGGCTACTGAAGCAACAGCTGGAATCTTGGCATGGAGCTGACTTTAAGAGCAAAACAGCTGGATTCTAATTTCGGCTCTGCCACTGGGTGTGATCTTGGTCAAGTGCCTTAACCTTCTTGGGTCTCAGATTTCTCATCCATAAAATGAAGGAGGTTAGACCGCATGATCTCTAAGGCTCTTATTAATTCTAACATTCTTGTATCTTGTATCTGTCACACCCATAATAATAAGAGCTAGCATATATCACTTTAAAAATTGTTTTACAAACATTATCTCATTTTTATCCTCACAATGACTCTGGGAGGTAGATGCTATTATTATCCATATTTTACAGATGAGGAAACTGAGGCAGATAGCGGTTAAGTGACTTGCCCAGGGTCATAGAGCTAGTAAATGTCCAAGGTCAGACCTAAACTCAGGTCTTCCTGACTCTAAGTCCAGTGTAGTATCCCTGTACCACCTAACTGCCTCACCTTTACCTGGTATCCTTGTAGTAATATTTAACTTCCATATATTGTAGGCTTCCGATTTATTCCCTCTGCACTCCTGGGATTATTACTGCCATCTCAAACTGAAGGCATATTCATTGAATTTTTTGAATTTAGAATTTCATTTTTGGAGGGAAAATACCAAATTAAGACTATAACCCAGGAATTCCACCACTCAAATGCCCCAAGCCCTAGTATGCCTTTGGTATAAATACACAGGTGTGTGTATGTGTGTGTGTGTGTATACACATATACATAGATATGCTGCTGAGCCCTTTTCAGTGCTGCTTTCCACCTTTGGTGTCCACCCGATCCACCTAAATCTCACCTGTGGCTCCAAGAAGCTGCAGCATGCTCGGTGGCCACATCCTGGTAAATTATTTTGGCAGACGGGCTAAACCAGGTGGAGGGTAAACAAGGGGTCTCAAACCCCTTGGTGAGTTAGGGGGATGTTTATCCCAAGCATGTGAAGACTTTGCCTGGTGAAATGGGTGGATGAGAACAATTTGTTCCAACAGCCATGAAGGCAGCTGAAGCAGGCGCTGTGGAGCGCTTACTT